ACAATTTGAGTTGAATTACTGAAATAAATGAACTTTTCCACAACATTCTAATTTATTGAGATGCACCTGTAATTCTACTACCAAAAAAATGATTTTTCTTGATGTTGCATCAATGTGCTGTCCTTAATGCTCTCTGTATGATGCAAAATTAATGTAAACAGTTATATATACAGAGGGGATCAAACATCTGATGTTAAAACAGATCTGTGCAGTGTGAATGCAGTCTCTTATACATATCGCTGTCTATAATGTCAATAATAACAATAATCAATACCACTATAATAACACTAATTTACTTTTTAAAGTTATATTTATGGGATTTTTAATGCCTTTAATGTGATAGGACAGTAAAGAAGTGACAGGAAAGCATTGGGCGGAGAGAGGGGCAAAGGATCACAAGATGGGAATTGAACTCGGTTCGCCGCAAGCGCAGTTGTCGGCGCACTAACAGCAAGGCTATTGGCACCGACACTTATTTGAAGGCAGGTTTACTACTTGTAATGTTGCTTGTATGTGAAGCTATATTTAGTTAGTTTAAATGACTTTCATGATTAATCTGCAATTTTTTTAAAAGACATTTTATGATTACATTTTAAAATTAAATGTTGGCAGTGAAAACTCCAGGAAAAAAATGGATAGACAAGACAAATTGATGAACTGAAATTTGTTTTTGTAACCAAATTGTTATCCTTTAAATCATAAAAAAAAAATGGAATCGCATTTCAAGACTGCAAGACCTTTACAAGTCATAGCATCAACTTGAGCCAGAAGTACCAGTACTTCTTTCTTTTTTTTTAAGATTTATTTTTTGGTGTTTTTATGCCTTTATTTTGGATAGGATAGTAAGTTGACAGGAAGTGAAGTGGGAGTGAGAGAGGGGGGGAAGGGATCAGGAAAGGTCTGCGAGCCGGAACTTGAACTCGGGACACCCGGAGCACAGCGGCGCTACATGTGAAACACAGCGGCGCTGCCCACGAGCCACGAGGTTATCAGCACCCAAAGAAGTACCAGTACTTTTTGACATCCCTTGACACACTCACACAGTACGTACAGTTACAAACACACTTATTCATAAAAAGAAACAACAACTACCAGATTGCTAGGACTCACCTTTTGACCATCTGTGGGTTGTACAGGTAAATCTTCATAAAGGTTTTTTCCTTCATATGGTATCCATAGAAAGGCCTAAGGAGAGATAAGATGGTCAGATCTATGTACAAATGTTTCAACAGAAGAGAGAAATCAAATTTGTGTCTTTGCACTAGGGGTAGCACAGACGAGCTGATTAATTCTGGCACCAAACAACATTTTTTAACTAGCTGTGGGTAGTGTGATTTCATGTGCACTTGTTCTATACAACAGTTGTAGAACTCTGCAATTACATAGTATGAATGCATGTGCAGAGCTCTGTCTTTGGAATTCTTATTAATACAAACAATCATAAAGCAAATAAATAAATGACTAAATGAATAAGAGAACACTTAAATCACAGTATAACACCAAGTCAATTAAACAATCAGGGATATCATTCTGTCCGGTTACAAAGCATTAGTGACAGTGAATCAGTTTCACCTGCTTTGGTGCAAATGAAATGTAACAACAGGTGAACTGGAAAGGCAACAGCAAGAAAACCCCTAAAAAGGGAATGGTAACTAATGATAACCCACTCTCATTTAAATCTCCAATTCTCCTTCTCACTACCCAGTTTCCGTTTTGTTTAACTGTCCTGTCTTAATAAAAAGGCAAATACTATGATGCACTTCATCACATACTTTTGGGTGCTACTGTAGTGCTAGGTGATATACCATTATTTTTCAAATACTGCCATAATAGTGTCTAAGTGAAACAATTGCTTTATCTATTTAAAAATCACAAAGAGTGCTAAATAGAGTGTATTGAGAGGGGAGCTTTATTAACTGCACAACACAACACTGCCCTACTTGCCCATACAAACAAGCCATGGCTGCTTAATTTTAAGATTCAAATCCGATCAATCTACCTTTTACTTAACTGACTTAAAGACCAGTCTTAAAGGGGGAAAAAAGAGATGACTGACTTAAGACAGGTCTAAGCAGTCGCTTAATTATGGAGGCCAATGAGTTCTTTGGATCCTTCAGTGTATCAGTTTTTTTTTTGTAGCTTTCCCCAGATCTGTGCCTCGACACAATCCTTTTTCTGAGCTCTGAAGAAGTTATTTTGACCTTTAGCCTAATTTTTGATCTGATATGCATTTTCAGATGTTAGAACTTGCATAGAAAGGTTTATCTTTCCAAATCAAGTCCAATCAATTGAATTTGCTCAGTGTGTAGAAACAAAGATGATCCAAAGAAATGAAGCACCAGAGCTAAATTTTCAAATGTCACAGCAAAGGGTCTGAATACTATCAATGTGATTTCAGTTTTTTTTTTTTTTTCCTTTTCAATAAACTTAATGCAAAACCAGATTTAACTTTGCATTATGGAAAGTATAGATTGTGGGGAAAAACAGCATAGAATAAGGCTGCAACAATATGTGAAAAAAAATTAAAGGGACTTTAAGACTGAATACAGCCTGAATTGAATTTAAACATGTCAACATGTTGTTGTTAAAATGTGCTCTAGAAATAAATGTGTTTGACTGTTCAACTGAATCAAGCAATACCTCAGAAACACAAGTAAACTATGGAGATAGAATTGTTGCTTAATTCCAAATAAATAGATTATGATCAACAAATAAATGTAAAGAGATTAACAAAAATTAAACATATTGACAAATAAATAGAATGAGATCCACAAATAAAACTTAAAGTTTCACAAACATTAATTAAATTCACAAATAAATAAAATGAGATTTGCAAATAAAAAACATATTCACAAATATATATTTATGTCACAACCACAACTTTGCCTGGCATTTATTTGTGAATCGCGTCCTGTGCATTTGTAGATAGCTGCACGCATTTGTGAATAGCGTCCTGTCCATTTGCGAATTGTGAAACATTTCTTCCGTCAAGACGTGCTGACAATCCACAAATACGTGGACTCCACCCACCGTCTACTCAAGCCAATCAGATAACAACCACATTTCGCGGACCAATCGTAGCACGATCTCGCTATAGCCAATCACGCTTTGCTTTACAATCAGGGCGGTCTCGTCCTGAGATAACTTCATTCATCTGCATTGGCTCAAATAGGGAATATAAGGGCCATAAAATGGGTACAGTAAAAGATGTTTAAAGGGGTCATATGATGCTATTTTGTTTGGTGTAACAGAATATGTTGACATGCTTTAATGTTCAAAAAACACATTATTTTTCAAATACTGTACATTATTGTACGTCCTCTATGCCCCGCCTCTCTCAAACACGTCGTTTTCAACAAAGCCCCCTCCTTTGACAAGCGCAGTCTGTGTTTACAGTCTGGTTCAAACAATTATTTTGGTCTATATAGGTAATTTTGCCCTTCATGACAACTGTGAGGAGGGTGAATTTTTTTATAACTCATCCGTTTAAATTATATTAAGTCTTAAAGTTCTGCATAATTAAGGGCGTGGCCACTTGAGTGACAGGTGGATTGCTGCTGCTGTCACCACCGTCGAGCTAGGTGAGCATTTGAACAGTCAATAGCAAATAATTAAACTAATAAAAAACATACTTACAGTCGCTGATTCAGAAGCCCCAGATTGTCATAGCAAAGTCGGAATTGACCTTGCTACAAATGCACAGGATGTGATTCAAAAATAAATGCCAGGCAAAGTTGTGGTTGTGACATAAATATATATTTGTGAATATGTTTTTTTATTTGCAAATCTCTATTTATTTGTGAATTGAATTAATGTTTGTGAAATTTTAAGATTTATTTGTGGATGTCATTCTATTTATTTGTCAATATGTTTAATGTTTGTTAATCTATTTACATTTATTTATGGATCGTAATCTATTTATTTGGAATTAAGCAACAATTATATCTCCATAGTAAACGCACTCTTCTGTGACTGGCGTACTTCTTTGAATCGTATTTATCATGTGTGCAATGTGTCTTAATGCTCAAGATGGCCAGTGCTGTAATGGAGCCGTATGTTTGAGCTAGGAACCACAATGATTGCCTCCAAGTCCAAAATACTTGGCACTGCCATAGCTTTCAATATAAATAAATAATTTAAATAAATTATACACAAAAAAAAAAAAACTAAAATCGCAAATTCGCAATATTAACCTTAAAGTTTTTTGTTTTTTTTCCATTGTTTCCATTTTTATTCCCAACGTCCCAAGGTGCACTTATGTTAGCAGAATTTTTACATCAAAAGCTGTGTCCCAATTCAGAGGCTGCAGTCGATGACTGGATGCATCACAGCATCGTGACGAAAGCTTTCCCACATCGAAGAAACCTTCAAATGCATCCTTCATTTCCTGGGCAATGAAAAATACAACTAATGGATCCATTACAACCAGAGAATAATTGCGGATCAGTGACAACAGGATTTTTGTGAAAGAAAATTTTAAAGTGTAATCCGGTATTAAAGTACTGGGTCTGTACTGTGTCTGAATTTGCTTAAATATCTAACAATATAAATAAAATGAAAAAAAAAAAAGCTGTTTAAATGCTGACATATCTTACTAAGGAGGATGCGATTTTATATATTGATTTTTTTTTATGTACGTACATAAATGGACCAATGTGAACATATTTAGGCATGTCATGAACCCCGTTTAGTTTTCAGACAGCTAATCACTTTCAAAATAATACACACATTACTGCCATTCTTCGACAGTAGCTTTCACAATTGCTAGGATCAGTCCTCTGTAGGCTAGACCATCCATTTAACAATGCTTGGTACAACCTTTGCAGACTTCGAAAGTGTTGCCTATGAAGTCTGCATCTTTCGATGTATGCAGCTTATGAATTGGGAGACAGCAATTTTCTACATTGATTTTAGAACACCGTTTAAATGGCCAGGTGCTCACTTCTATAATTGGGAATATTCTTTGCATATGCTCTCAAGACAACATATCCAAACTTTAAGTGCGAATGGAAAACAAAGTTGTTGTTTTTTAATTACTTGAAATGGCAATAAGCCTAGATACAGACAGGGCTCTACGCACCTGGCAAGGCTGAGCACCTCTGATAATTATATAGTTATCAAAACAACTGTAGATTATTATTCAGTACAGTGGAAAAATTAACAGACAATCAGACGTTTTACAATAAAAAGCAGCCTTTCAGTTTTTAGCATCCAATGTCCTCCCCCAAGAAAAATTGCAGTCCTTTACTCCCACAGGACAGGAAGAGCTTACAAAACTTACACTACATCAAAACTAACGACATGTACACTAGATCCCTACCACTAAACTACTGAAAGGAATCTCACAGAGGGAGCAAGTCTGCTTCATATGCACACTTCAGGCCACTCCACAGACCACAACGCAACAAGATTGTGACGTCATCGCAGATCGCGTTTTGCAAGGGTTCTGCCAGAAGTGGGCACTCATGCAACATAATCAATGACGTACATCCAAGTAAACAAGACGGAGGGAAGTTTGCGAGTGAAGGGCATAAAAAAAATGAACTGGAACGCAGCCATAGTGATCCTAAAGACCTTGATTAGCTTGTTCAGGTGTGTTTGATTAGGGTTGGAGCTGAACTCTGCAGGACAATGGATCTCACAGGCCAGATTTGAGAACCCCTGCTCTAGATCCTATAGTGCAGTAGTTCTCAATTACAGTCCTCACATAAAACCGTTCTGCATATTTTGCATGTCTCTCTTATTTAACACACCTGATTCAGATAACCAGCTTGTTAGAAGAGAGCTAATGCGTGAACTGTTTTCCTATTGACATGATCCCTACACCGCGTTCTTTGCTCTCTACTCCCTGGGCACATGAAATCCATTGAAGTTTACTTCACTTTGAAACATTCATTCATGGATTTGTGCTATGCTACGGCCTGCAGTATCTTCACACACAGACAAAACTTACTAGAGAAGTGTGAAATGTGACAATATACCTCTGTCAATAAATACAATTTAAATTAATGTCTCGCACACTTTAATCCCCTTTGAATGGACCGTATATGTGCCCTTCAAACAATGTTCCATATGTTCATGGTGGAATATCCTGTGATGTCCACTTCACAGGGAACTTAAGGTCAAATAGAAGAAACGTCTGAAGTGATGAGAGATGCATACAAAATGTGCAGAGCGGTGGTACGTGAGGACTGGAATTGAGAACAACTGCTATAGTGAATTGGCAAATTACAGACCCAACTCAAATCCTACTTATGTCTATAATATTACAAAAAGTTGTATCTGCTTAATTATGCTCCTTTTTGCAGGAAAGCCCTAAACGGTCTAGTTTCTTAATATTTAACTGATCCTCTATCATGCTACAACACATCATGTTCTTTAAGGTCACAAAACTCTGGACTTTTTATAGTACTAAAAACAAAGTTTACTAATGGTGGCAGAACATTTTGCATTTGGCTCAAACACTGGAATAGCCTTCCTAAAAATATCTGGGGGTCAGACATACTCTCTAAATCTAAGTTAAAGAGCCATGTCTTCCAGCCAAGCATTCACAAAACGCAATCAAATACTATCTTTATATTGTAATTATGATCATAAGATGTAATCATTGCCTAACATATTCATTATATCTACTTAACTGAAATAATGATGAGTCCCATGCATGATCTGTCTCATAGCAGTATACTACTGCCACATGGATAATATTTTGACACACTCATCTCTGAATAATTAACAGACTACTTCCTGATTGTACCATTGAAAACAATTGTGAAAAGTGTTACACTACATACTGAATTCAATTTTATATGTGGAACTGTTTTGAAAACTTTTGCCATGAACTTAACACTAAAGTTGCCAAGATTAACTACTTATGAAGTGTTGAATATAGCATTCTATTTAGATATATGCTTTTTATTAATATTATTTCATATTATCAAGTTTCACTGAGCAGTGTAGACAATCAACTATAGAGGAAGTTTTGGTGAAAGTGCAACTCTGAGCTGGCACTTTTTGATTGACATCTGATTTAAAAAAAGGGAGCACTCTTTGCTCGCTTCTGTATATAATTTAATCAATTTATATAAAATATACTAGTAAAAGGAACAATGTGAAGCTGATAATTTAGTCACTGGTTGCTTACATGTTGCAACATTATTGTTGGGTCCATATCGTTCCATAAGAAAATTTGCAAAGCCTGCAAACCAAACCAAATTTCTACTGGTTTACCAAAGAATCCATGGTGAAATACACCGAACAAACAAATAATGCTCTGAAACATTCATATGGTTGAAAATAAACAGCCACTTTCGTAACACAAGATTTAAAAGGTCATGTTTTTAGTGCAGTGATCCTGTCCCGTATTTCTTCTGCCTGAACACATTAATGCACCAGTGGGTGGGCTAAGAGGCAATGATGAAGTAGGTGTTGATCTGTGTTTGTGCAGGCAGGCTTGTGCAGATATATAAATCTCTTATGTAATAAAAACCTAAATCAAATTAGTTAAAATTAGTAGTGGTCCAAGAAAACACTAGTGTGCACTTGTGTGCCTTTTACACATACATGCCAGACACCAGAACCACTTTAAAGATGTGCTGCACATTAGAAGAGGGGTTTCCCATGCTGACATTCAGGGCTCTGTCGATACTGTAGGCCAACTGCTGAAGGTAACGGTCTGCATCCTGTCCAAACCCATCATACGGCACATAGATGTATGGGAACACACCATGCAGATGAAGACATGTCTTCTGGCCTAGAAACAAAAGAGAAAGAGAATCAGCATCATCTTAAACAAGTGACAAACATTTTTTTTAAATAAAAGCTGCTTGGGAGATTTTGTGCACTCTTCTCAGATAAGGGGCTGTACTTATGCAGTTTGGTTTGACAGCACAACACTCTCTGCTACAACAGATTTGTGCTCATGTCATCATTGTTTGATAAATATCCTGCACATTACAATGTTTTAATTTTGTGATTAATGCTTTTAAATTCAAAGAAATACCATACATGATAGATCATGTGACATGTCTATTGCACTTACACTGCAAGATTTAAAGGGGTAATTCAGTACTGGCAAGTTGGGCTTAAATAAAACTTGGCTGTCTAAGCAGTAAAAATGAGAAATTTGTGTAAATCTGTTCTATATGGAAAAAAAGTGAAAAAAGAAAAGGGACTGTGATGTTCCCTTGTGTGGTTTTGATTTTGGCGAAATGCAAAAAAACCCTGGAACTTGACTCGTTTTGTGGACAAATAAACAAGGGGTGTGCACGAATAGTCAATTATTGCAATATTCCATCACGGAAGATTAAGACATTCCCAAAACCAGAGCTTCAGCTTGAAAGCATGGTTTCTAAACTACTTTAGAGACAGTAGACTTTGTGTCCATCAGGTCTGCAACAAACGTTTATTTTGATAATAGATGATTAGTTGACTATATTAGATTTTTTCACAGATTTATGAGTAAGCTTTGATCAATTATTCAGCTTTTACAATTAGTTAAAATATTATTATACATATTCTAACTTTAACAATTTAATCACTTTAGCTAAACAATTATATTAATATTAGATAACTACAATTACTATACAATTATTTTTTACAATATAAATAAATATTTAATTGTATGAAAAACCACAACCATTTAAACTGTATTAAAAAAGTAACTCATTCTGCCTAACATCTTTTGTAAGTCATATGGATATGGAACAAAAATGGCAAGTTATAAGACATTTTATTTTTCGATAAATTTTATTCACAACATTAGCTCTCGTAAAACACCTTAAATTGTTATAAAAATCAAAACAGTCCTGAGCTAGATTAGCAAGCTTTAATCTCTGCAAACCAAACAATCACTTTAATGTAATTAGTTGTTGTTTTTTTGCATTCACTAATAAAAAGATTTAACATTAGCTAGCTCAACACTGGTCAGCTGCTTAATAACAAAGTCAAATTGTAATTCTAAGTGTGCTTTCACACCAGCATTTCGGGTTCGATTGACGTCAAGAGTTCGGTACTTTTGGATGATATGAACGCTGTCTTCTGAACTTGGGTGCACACCCACGAACCATACCCAAGTCTGCTTAAAAGGGGTGGTCTGGGGTACGGTTCAAGTGAACTCCAATACGGTTTGCTGCTGATATGAACGCAACAGTACCAAATCGCAGAAGTGAACCGCTATTAATGACGTTTTATTTGGAAAAAAATAAATAAAATATGTATTGTGCGTGTTTCACTCACTTTCCTGACGAGCGTGACTGAGACGCTGCAAGCAGAGAGCTAATATACAGGTGCATCTCAATAAATTAGAATGTCGTGGAAAAGTTCATTTATTTCAGTAATTCAACTCAAATTGTGAAACTCGTGTATTACGAGATGCACCTGTACATTTCTGTTCGCCTTCAGCATTCTTTAGAGCATTTGTAGTACATTCATAAGACTGACGTAAGTGCCGTTATGTACTGAAGCTTTGGAAACAACACCAACAGTTCAAAAACATAAACATAAAAAGTGGAAAGAGCAATGCTATGCATTTTGCTGCGCCGTCATTACTATGCAACAGGGTAAACAGCTGCTGGCATGATGACACAAGCGAATCGAGGTTCGGACCAAAATAAAATAATATAAATGCAGTCCAGCGAGGGCAGGGGGAGCAATCAAACTCAGGTTCAGACCAAGTGTGAAAGCACCTTAACTGAAAGAGACATTGTTTTTTCCATGTTTCATTTTGTAAAGCCGCTTGATTTAAATCAATGTATTAGAGTACTATATAAATAAAAGTGTCGTTACTGGATTGCCGATTGCAGTGCTTGTACAAACATATCCACTTCGCTATGAACAGATGCTTTCTGAACTGCCATTTTCTTACCACTGGCGAGGTGAATTACGGTCTTGAGCTGCAGCACCCCACTAGTCAAGCCACGTTATTGCAGGCCCTTACATGGGTTATATAAGATCAAGCAAGTACTCGACAACAAAAATATTTGTTGACAACTTTCTTTTTTTTTCTTTTCTTTTTTTTTTTATTGTCAACATTGTTGATAAAGTCGAATAATCATTTCAGCCCTAGTCTCCATTTTGTTTGACAGTTGGACAGCATTAACTACAGAGTCCTATGTAACTATAAGGTGTCATTTTATTGCTGACGGTAAGGTGAATACTTATGTCCTGCAAACCTGAGCATTGGAAGAGCGACACTCCTCTGCCAGCCTGGCAGGTCATTTGATAACATCTGTAGAACAACAGGGCCTGGATGGTAAATTGGTCACTTGCATGCCTGACAATGCTATTAATATGGTAGCTGCAAACAAAGATGTGAACTGCAAATATGTACCTTGTTGTACACACATGCTTAAATTGGCCATCAATGACAGATTTAAAGCTGCAAGCATAAATAAATAGGCTAATTCCCAGCAAGCACTAGCCGTCATTTCAACGTCTCGGTTAAGTATAGACCCGATATAGTCCGGCTATGTGTAACCCACTTCTAGCTCAAATAACCTTGAATTTGGTTTCACGTCGTTTTTTAGCAAAATAACTTGAGATGTATGATATTCCATAATTTAAGCAAAGTAACAGCGTTTACAAGGTGTTTGGTTTCATTTCTTTGACATGTTCAATACGTAGCCTGTGCGTAGCCACGATTTAGCTCGTAGTCCGAGCGGCTATATAGCCCACTTATAGTCCAACCTGATTCACTGTAGTTTTTGGCCAGGCAGCGCATGAGATGGTTGATATCCCATCATGTTCGCAGTGTCAATAATATCTACAAAGATATAAGTGTCATTTTATGACATGGTCTATATGTAGCCACGATTTAGCTCTAAATTGGACGGGCTACGTGTAGTCTGCTTTTAGCCCACCTGGCGAAATCGAGGCAATCTGTGGTCTAATTTTAACGGCTTGGCTATAGCCCTATACCAGTAACCAGACCAGCGATGAGCATAGCCAAAATAGCCTTAAAATTGTTTACATGTAATTTTCGCCCACGCAGCTTCTTATCAAATGCAAGTAAACTTTTGAA